CAGCAAAACAAAACAACAAACAAACAAAACAACAAAGAAAATAAACAAGCACCTCCTTTTCATGTTCTCCATTGCATTCCAAGAATAACTAGAGGTATAATATTGCACAGTATTGGAGGAAAATTTTTTTAAATGAAGGCCTGCTCAACAACAGCGAGTTCGCAACCACTGCAACAGCAACAATAACAGCAACAGCAACAGCAACACCAACACCAACGTCAACACCAACACCAACACCAACACCAACACCACCAACACAAACACCAGCACCAGCAGCAACAACAACAGCAACACCAACGCCAACGCCAACGCCAACGCCAACACAGCCGTGACAACAACTGCGACAACAAGAAGGACAACCCCCCCAAAAAAAACCACAAAAAAAACAACAACCAACAACTAGATCTAGAGAAACTGAATAAATCAGACAGCTTCTATTCTAAAAACTATCTGACGAGTTTAGGCCTACATTTTTCAATGACGTCAATTTCTTTCTAATTACGAGTGTGGTTGTCCAGAGAATATCATAAGAGGAGGATAAAAATAGCGCGATATTGGATTCCCTCTTATTTCTGCCACACCGTGCGTGTCCCCGTGTTTCTGGTTCTACGTTTCTGTACAGTTGAGACGGGACGAAAATAGAACTTAGCGCTTACTTTGGCAAACCAGAGGACATTAATAATTCTGTTCCTCATTTGATATTACTGTCTACGTAACCGTATACATAAATACGAATTTGCCCTTTGCTCAAGGATCAAGGAGCGTATTGGAACATAGTAATAATTGCATTTATATAGCTCATATCCACGCTCTACAGCCACGCTCTATGCGTTTTACGACCATTATTACCCTTCAGCAGATACTAGGACACACGGAAACATTCTTGGCTTCTCAGGAAACATACAGTGCAAGCAGCCGATTAATTAGGCGCCCAGACATGAGCAAACTGACAAGATCTTTCGTGGTCAAAAGCCGGGTAGGTCTACCCATTCATACATGGATGAAGTAAGGAAACTTTATGTAAGATGTCTTTCTTAGGGACATTCTCGCAATCCGTATTTTAGGTATAGCTGCAATGTGTCTATCTATGTTATGCAAAAAAAAAGTATTATTTATCATCATCAACAATTGTTTGTATTATTATTATTAT